GATTTTCTAATGAAAATCTATTACTATTTGCAATTAATAAATCAATGTCATCATATATTGATTCACATTCAGCATTTGCAATTTCCTTTATAGCTTCTATACGTTTTTGTTGATTGCTAAAACGTGAATCCCATTGTTCAAGAAGATATTTATTTTTGCTAAATTGTTCTTCGTATAGATTCTGAATTTCATCTATGTGATTATAAGAAGTATCTAAATTCTTTTTTAATTCTGATACTTCATGTTCATAATTTTTCAATTGTTGTTGTAGTTGCATGATTTTATTATTAAGATCCAAAATAATTATTGATTGTTCTTGATGTTCTGATTCACTCATTTCTAGCATGTCTCTTGTTCTTTGAAGCTCCTCTGTAATGTTAGACTCACCAATATAATTTTCGCCTGCTACAATGTCAATGGTACTTGTGTGTAATTCCAAATTATTGATTTCCCGGGATCTTTTTTTTGAATAATAGGAATATCTGAATTTTTATTTATATTTGAATTTAAAAGAGTCTGATAAAAATTGTTAGTAGCAACAATCTGATTATAATGTTTTTCACATATTGAATGATTTTCCAAAGAATCAATTAACAAAGATAATTCAGGAAAGTATTCAGTAAATAGATGTAGACATTCCCTTACTGCATTTCCCAATGCTTGTCTCCAGTATTGATTACTTTTGATTTCAAATTGTTTCAACTTACTTTCCGAATATTTCTGAGCAAGTGTGGTGAACAAGCATGGTAAGGTACTAGCAGGTTGTCTTTCCACTAAAAGTTTTTAAAAAAATAATAGTTAAATAAAAAAAAAAATGAAATTGAACACCTCGTGTTTAAATTTTCCCTGATTTTGATAGAAACATACTTTAAGCAAATCAACAGATTATCACAGATTATTAACAGATTATGAAAAAGAAAGTTTTGGACTATTTATTTCAATTATTAATTTAATTTTTTTTTTAAAAAAATGTGACTTCGATATGACGAGTAACATCTTGTGAATTCATTTGTAACATATATGAATTGATCGGCAGAGCAACATACCGATATGGTAAAATCCCAGGCTGCAATAAGAATGATCAAACTTTAATTTGTGTTACCATTAAAGAATACTCTGACCGTTTAAGAGATAATAACAATTGGTCAATTTCAAAATAATAAAACAAAAAAAAATATCTCATTTTAAAAAATTTAACCGATAAGTTTTATTGTTCATGATACAAACTTCAAAACTTATCGGCTGGTTTTTTCTTAAACTGAAAATTGGCTGAGCCTTAGCATTTTGAAAATCCCGAATTTTGTTATCCATTTAAGAAATCGAGACTAAGTAAATTTCGTGTAACAAAATTTTTTCATAGAATATTTTCTACAACATGCATTTTGATTTATTTATTTCCTTTTTTTTATTAATAAATAAAAGTTATTTACAATGAAAAAGTTTAACGAACATATTACATTAAAAGAAAATCATTACTGAATTTGGTCGTGAGATTCAAAATATTGTAACACGAAAATTATTGTTGTATTTCTGAGCATAACTTTCAAATTTAAAAAAAAATCTATGAAAAGAAAATTCGAGACAAATTTTTTTTTTAGATTAATAGACTCCCTTTTTAAAGCTGGATTATGGTGGTGGGTTTTTTAAAATCTAATGTGTGGATCACATAATATTTCAAAAATTTTAACTTTTGAGTATAGATATCTGCACTGTAAAATTGAAAGTAGGGGTTGGCACTGTTAACTGTTTAAGATATTTTTTAACTGGTTAAATTAACTGGTTAACCACCATTTATTAAATTTTTTTTTATGTATGGGGCATGAGTATGGTGGACGTTCAAATATCATGTAAAATGTTACACGAATTATTATATTGTTTAAAGTAATCAACCAGTCCCATCAATTAAAGTGGGTACAAGTGTACTAATTAATGACCATTCAAACTTCAATATATTATTCTCCTAGTTGTTTTATACAAACTATTAAAAGATCACAGAGAAGATCACACTTTTCAAAATTGCAATCTATTTTATAAAAGTTAAATGCCGCCTAAAAATCAATTCTGCAATTACTGTAAAGAAGAAAAATTCTCAACATTTAGAAATGTTACTGAAGAGGCTAAGAAAAAAGCTAACAAGGGAGAATTTTTTGTAAATGTTGGTGATTCTCTTTGTTCAAATTGTTATAATTTTGTGGTGCAATATGATAGGAATCAAAAAACAACAAGAAAAATGATAACAAGTCATTTAAAAGACATAAGTCAACTGAAAATATTGCAACTGATAATAATAATTCTTTAGCTTCAATTGAAGAATTACAAAATGAGATAACAAAATTAAAAAAAGAAATAGAAGCTCTTACAATGTATTCAATAAATGAAATGACAGGTAAAAGATTTAGAATATAAATATATTGATGATATACAGTTCACTCTCTTTATGATGATAATAATAATAACAGATCATTTGATGAAAAAATATCATTACATATTTATATATATTTTCTTTTTTCTTTTTTTTGTTGGAATTATTTATTTAATTATATTTTATATTTTATATTTTACACATTTAACATAATGATATACTGATTCAAAATTAATAACTTTATGTATATATCTTTAGAGGCAGTTAATTTTTCAAGTATTTTCAATGACAAAATCAAAAGATTAACAACTGTTCTTGACAACTATCAATGTCATGAAAATAATGAGCCTATAAATGATCCTGATGAATTTATCAAAATGATTGAAACAAGAGATCCTGAATTAATTGGTTTTTTTGAGATGCTTTATCAAAGTATGAATCCTGTTTCAAAAAATCCAACAACATTATACAATTTAAAAAAAAAGGTAATGATACTTTGTTATCAAATGGCAGGTTTAAGAAATAAACAGGTAACTTCTGCAAAAAAAAAAAATTGGTTTATATTTGTCTAGCTCAGGTACTTCAGCATCAACTATAGACACTTTATCAAATTTGGGATTTACAACTACATATAAAACTGTAATAAGAGAAAAAAAAAATATAGTAAAAAGTCATGAAGAAAGATTGCTGGAATATTTAAGAAATAAAGTGTGATTGTAATAGATTAATATTTATTAATTTGAAATAATATAATAAAAATAATAATAGTTTTTTTATCTATTTTTAAAGCTTAATTTCCTTAATGTGCTGTTGATTGATGATTATCATGATATTCATCAAGCAAGAAACCCTATTGATACAAATTTGTCCAATGTAGCTCATATGGCCACAATTATGATACATGCTCTTGATATTCCACCAATTCCTTTTATCTCAACATTAGGTGAACCAATTCATAATCCTTTAAATGTTGATGCTGATTTACTAAGATGGGCTTTGAAATTTGATTATATTTCACATTTGGGGCATACTGCAACAAAATCAGACAAAGTGAACATTTGCATATCAAGGATTTCAGGGATCAATATTGTTTTTTATAGTGTTTGTATTCATGATATTCAAATATCAATCACATGAATGATATTTGAATATTGTCCGAACAATTTT